TTTCCTCAAGAGCAGCCCCCTACAATCAAACGTTTTCCTCAAGAGCAGCCCCCTACAATCAAAAGTTTCGTGTCTTTTAAATTTTTGTACTTACAACAGAATTTAATCGCCTCATGAATAACCATAGCAGCGATATTTCATTAACTTTATTTCAATCAAATTGATTTAGACTTTTTCCTAATCCTTGTCAGTCCATAAGAAAGCCCAAAAAATCTTTGAAAAGGTTTTTTTTTTTTAACATTCACTTCATGGGCTTCCCCTCATTCAGGCTTAATTTTGTGAGAGGAATTCTTCATCCTGAACTGTTTTTGCCATACAGGATACATTGATATATTTGATATGAATTATCACATATTAAGAGTCCTTTCATCACGTAGGTGTCCATGATTTGCGAGTGTTATAAAACTACCAATCCTAGAGTCAGTTCTCCTCACCTGTCAGGAGAAACTGGTCTTATTTTCTGAAATAGTTTTTCTTAATTTCATAGTATTTTTTTAGGTTTATTTATTTATTTTGGTTATCAAATAAACCAAAGGTCTTTCACTCTCCTTCTCCTGAGAATCCCAAACTTTGCAGAGACAGACAGAGGGAAAGATAAAAAAAACTATAACTAAACTCCATTGTAGCCTCAGCAGTCACAATCACAGCTTCTCCTAACCTGAGCTTTCGGCACTTTCTCAAGCACTGCTCTGACCAATCTCCTGTGCTCCTCCCTGGGCTTGGTGTTGATTAATATATCACCCAGTTACACCAAGACCCCTTTGTGTGGGGTTCATGCAGAACTTCATGTATCCGCTGCACAAACACTGCAGGGACTCCCTCTGGTCCAAACGGCATCACTCGGTACTGGTAGCAGCCCACAGGGTAGTTGAGTGCCGTTTTCCATTTGTCACCTTTCTTAACTCACACTTGGTAGTACGCAGGGGTGGGATTCAATTTTTTTAACAACTGGTTCTGTGGGCGTGGCTTAGTTGGTGGGCACGGCTTGGTAGTGTGACTGGCTGGGTGTGGCCAACTCAACATCATTCACATCGAGGCATGTATCTCCTCGCCTGGACTCTTGTGACTGTGGGGATGCTGCAACAGTTGTAAGTGCGAAAAAAAGTCAATGGTCATTCCACACAAGCAAAGTACCAGCAAAGGAGGGGGGGGGAAAACTCCAGAGAAGTTCCAGAAACAGGAAGTCTAGTCCTGCCAAGAATGTAATAAGGGCCAACTGAGAGGCAGTTTCTGTAAGCAACACCAGAATGTTTCCTTCCTGCCTTCATTACAGGATTAGACCAGTAATTTCTTCTAACAACTGGTTCTCCGAACTGCTCAGAATGTTAACAACCAGTTCTAGCGAATAGGTGCGAACCTGTAGAATCCCATTCCTGGTAGTACGCCTCCCTCTAGTCCAACTTTGTGAAGATTCTCCCCTTTATGAAGTGTCCCAACATGTCTTTCATTAATGGGAGGAGTACATATTCTCCACCCATATAGAGCTCTGCCTTTTATAGTCAACACATAACCTAAGTCTCCCATTCGTTTCCTTGAAAAGCACAGGCACCACCACCCTCAACTTGGCTGATGGAATAAAGCCCCGGGCGAAATATTTATCTATGAATGTACATTTTCATCAAGTATGAGTTTGGTTTGGGCAATTTAGCTCCAGGCACAAATTTAGTTGCATGGTCCATGGGGGTAATGAAGCAGCAGTGTATCGCTTTCCTTCTCACTGAGGATCTCAGCCAAGTCGCCATACCTTTTAGGAATCGGGATCTAATACAGAGGGATCAAACTTACGTTCTCATGTGACGTATCGCAACTTGTTTCCCCTTTGCTAATCCGGGAATGGGCGTGGCCAGCATGTGATGCATCCGGTCCATGGGCCGGGAGTTTGACACTCTTGCTCTAAATCAGGGGTGGGCAAACTTTTTGGCTCGGGGGCCTCATTGACTTTTAAAATTTGGCAGACGGGCCGCCACCTGTTGTCAAAATGCCTGTCATTATAAGTCAAAATCAAATGAATTCAATCATTCACATCAAACCTTAATTCTGTACCAATCTTCAGCAGGCCGGATTTAAAAGACCAATGGGCCGGATGTGGCCCGTGGGCCATAGTTTTCCCACCGCTGCTCTAACCTATCGCTTCCCTCCAGTTTATTAGCAGTTTATGCTTTCACTTCCATAAACAAAGGCGTGGGATGGTTTCTCAGAACTTTCACTAATCATTGCCACATAGTTTCTTTCCCATCCACCACTTACTTTTTTTCCAATCAAGAGAGCGGGCCCATTTTGGAAATAATTCCAGGCCTAGGTCCATGACTCCTGTCATTCCAGGGGCCACAATAAATCTAAAAGTCTCTATGTGGGTTCCAGCTTTACACAAATGGAGCTGCACGCACTCAGGCGCATCTGCCACCCACACAAAACCATCCCATCTTCCCTTGTCCTGGTTTGCACTAGAAAGGCAATTTATGCATGCATATCTAAGAAAGTATATAATTTATTTGAATTATTACTCAAATGGAACATGTGAGATTTTAAACAACTATAGGAAGCGCTCAATGAATTACAGTTCATAAAGTGATTATTCAAAGTCATACAAGCACTGAAAAGTGTGACTTATGACAATTTTTCACATTTATGAACAACATCCCGATGGTCACCTGATCAAACTTCAGATGCTTGGCAACTGATTCATGACAGCCCCAGTGTCCCTGGATCATGTGATCAGCTTCTGTGAGCTTCTGAGAAACCAGGCCAATGAGGAAGCCAGATTCATTTCACAACAGTGTTACTAACTTAATTACAGTGATTCGGTTAAGAAATATGGCAAGAAAACTTGTAATATGGAAAAAACACACAACTTATCAACAGAAATGTTGGGCTCAATTGCAGTCATAAAATTAGGACAACTTGGATTTCTCTTGGAGCTCTACCCACACATCTTGATATGGTTTGTCCCACATGTTGTTCCTTCAACGGTAAGAGCATTACTCCTTGCAGAGCTGTTTCCTCACTACACGCATATGATTTCATATAGTTTCTCAACTGTATGGATTCTTTTATGGGAAGTGAGATCACAACTCTTTCTAAGGTCCTCTCCACATTCCACACATTTATATGACTTCTCTTCCATCTGGCTCCTCTTGTGGGAATTAAGACCATTAGTACGAGTAAAGATCTTTCCACACTCAATGCATTGATATGGTTTCTTTCCTGTGTGTGAATCCTATTATGGGGGAGGTAAGGTGACTATCCTTCCTAAAACCCTTTTCCTACTCCATGCTTTGATATGGCTTCCCTCCTGTGTGGATCCTTTTGTGGGAATTAACATAACAGCTACAAGTAAACGTCTTTCCACACTGTGTAATTTAGAAGGTTTTTCTCCTGTGTGATTTCTTCGATGGATTATAAAAGAAGTCCACTCCATGAATTCATATGGTTTTTTCTCCTGTATGGTCCTTCTATGAGATGTGAGAAAGCAACTCTTTCTAAAGCCCTCTCCACACTGCAAACATTTATATGACTTCTATCCTGTGTGGCTCCTCTTGTGGGAATTAAGACCATTACTACGAGCAAATCTCTTACCACACTCCATGCATTGATATGGTTTCTCTCCTGTGTGGATCCTTTTATGGGTGATAAGAGCAGAATTCCATATGAAGCCCCTTCCACATTCCACACATTTATATGGCTTCTCTCCTGTGTGGATTGTCTTGTGGGCATTAAGATAACTTCTATAATTAAAGCTCTTTCCACACTCCATGCACTGATACGGCTTCTCTCCTGTGTGGATCCTCTTATGGGCATTAAGATTACAGCTACGAGTAAAGGTCTTTCCACACTCCATGCATTGATAAGGTCTTTCTCCTGTGTGGATCCTTTCATGTCTTCTAAGAGAATGATTATCAAAGAATTTTTTTCCACACTCCCTGCAGGCATTTGGTTTCTTTTCTGAATGTGACTTTTTATGAGAAAGGAGATGATCGGATTTGTTCAACCTCTTTCCAAACTCCATGGATTTATATGGTCTTTCTCCTCTGTGATTCCTTTGATGGATTATAAAAGTTTTATAATAACAGAAGGTCTCATCGCACTCCATGCATTGATATGGTTTCTCTCCTGTGTGGATCCTCCTGTGGGTGTTAAGTTGACCGCTGTAAGTAAAGGTCTTTCCACACTCCATGCATTGATACGGCTTCTCTCCTGTGTGGATCCTCCTGTGGGTATTAAGATGACTGCTACGAGTAAAGGCCTTTCCACACTCCATGCATTTATAAGGTCGTTCTCCTGTATGGATCCTTTGATGTCTTATAAGGTAGTACTTATCACAGAACGTTTTTCCACACTCCCTGCAGGTAGTTCGATCCTCTTCTGAATGTGACTTTTTATGAGAAATGAGATGATCGGATTTATTAAACTTCTTTCCACACTCCATGGATTCATACGGTCTTTCTCCTGTATCAATCGTTGTATGGTTAGGAAGCCAATTGACCAGAGGAAGACTTCTTTTAATTCCACTTTGTGACTGCTTTGTTTCATCACTCTTTGGTTGCATCTGATCTACGAATTTCCT